CGTGAAAGCCCTGTATAGTTTTGATAACGGACCTGCAACTAAGTCTGGAACAAAGAACGATATGAAATACTCCTTCTGAATGTAATACTCACGTATACTGAATAGGAAGTAATAAAATTAATAAATCTCGTCTGATTCCAATTTTGTACCTCAAAATGAGCAAAAATAATATTTTGAGCACATAATATGAATAGTTAAAATCGTCTGTGCACGAATAAAAAGCACATTGTTGAATATAAATTTTGATGTTCTTTTTAGATATGGCAAAAAAATGAGAAATTCGAATGTATAGGGTGTTGTTTTCTGGCAGAAAGAATTTGTGAATTTTAAGTGGAGCCGGACCTGGATTTTATCTTTTGTTGTTGCCTCAATCAATTCCACAGGATAGATTGAGCAAGTGTACCAATTTTTAAAAATATATACAGGTTGGTTGGGAAGTTATGAGACAATGAAGATATCGACAAAATTGATGAAACATCCTGTATCTCGGTTATAAGAAGTCGAAGACCCATCAACCATGGGTTTTTTGAAAGAACCCCAGTGACCCCTATCCACAGTTGAATTATTTACCTTTCCCAATGAAACACCATGGAAAATTATAAAAAACTCACTGAACTCAAACGATAAAAAAGACATTCCAGATTCAATAATTGATGAAAACGAGAAGGTAATTACAAATTCTGTAGAAATGGCAGATGCTTTCAATAGTTTTTTTGTAAATAGTGTATCCAAACTGACCCAAACATTTCATGTAAATAAAGAATATAAACAAAGAATTTGGAATAATAATTGTGCTTCGTTTTTCTTGGCACCAGTTACCTCCCATGAGGTGTTCGACATTATTCAAGATGTTTGTGAGAAAAAATCTAGTGGTGTAGACGAAGTACCTTGCAATTTGATAAAAGAGGTCTCCCAAAATATTGTGGAAGTTCTCACATTTACATTTGTGATAAATATTTCCTTCAAATTGGGACAATTTCCATCCCAACTGGGAAATGCTGTAATTGTTCCAGTTTTTAAGAAAAACAGCCCCAGCGATATAAGTAATTATAGACCAATAGCATTACTGTCCGTATTTTCTAAAATACTTGAGAAATGTTTTCAAATCAGACTCTTGAAATATCTATCTAAATTTGAGCTATTAACGAAACGCCAATATGGTTTCACTAAAAATTATTCGACTCAGGATGCCATCTTGTCATTCTATGAAAATATTCTTGAAAATTTCAATAACAAATGTAAGACCTCTGGGTTGTTTTTTGACTTTCAAAAAGCATTTGATGTTGTTAACCATGAACTACTTCTGAACAAAATGGAAAAATATGGAATAAGGGGCCCCCCTCTTAGATGGATAAAAACTTATTTGGAAAACAGATCCCAGCAGGTCCGCATTAGACAAGAAGGCTCAGATATTTTATCTGATACCTTGCAACTGTCCAGCGGCGTCCCACAGGGCAGTACATTGGGACCAACGTTTTTCTTAATTTTAATAAATGATCTGACTTTCAACTTCCAAAATGGATTTCTCACACTTTATGCTGACAACACTTCCGCAGTGGTGAATTCTAACAATCTTGTACACTTAGCTTCTAAATCAACAAATTGTATCGCTGAAATGGAGAACTGGTGTCATCAAAATGGTATCATCTTGAACGTTGCAAAAACTGTATCACTGTTGTTTTCACCAATCAGCTCCAAGTCTGACCTAAGCCTTCTTGTAAGATCAGGTATATCAAATGTATCCATCAAACAGAGTGAAACTGTCAAATTTCTAGGCTTACTTGTCGACCAAAACCTTTCCTGGGATGCTCATACTCAACAATTAATAAAAAAATTATCCACAATGAATTTTGCCATTTTTCAACTTAAGAAGGTCACCAATACAGAAGCTTTGTTGTCCTATTATTATGCTTGTGTTAATTCTGCCCTAAGATATGGGTTACTTTGTTGGGGAAATAGTGAAGGAGCAAATAGAGTATTTCTTAGCCAAAAACGTATAATTAGGAGTATTTTTGGTATAAGACAAACGGATTCCTGTAGACCATTTTTCATTAAATATGGAATTCCAACTGTATACAATCTTTACATTCTAGAAGGAGCATGTTACATTTTCAAAAATCTAGACAAATACAAAACATGTGGACGTGGAAGTGAATAGTTATGTAACGAGGAATGCTCATAAACTGTATGTACCATCTTTCTCAATTGCTCAGATAAAGAAGGAGCCAATTCATACCTCGATAAGGTTATTCAATCATCTACCTGATTCTCTGAAAACTTCACCCAGCCTCTATATTTTTAGAAAAAATGTTAAAAAAATTTTAGGTGCTAGATGTTTCTATTCTTTGGAGGAATTTTTCTCTGACTCATAACGGTCCATTGTAAATGAATAATAAGAATTGTGTTAAATATGGTTGATTATTGTGTCCTTGTTCGTATTCTTACATGTATTTTGAATGTATTATTATTATTGTATTGTTATTTCACTCTTTGTTATTTTAGCATAGCATATATTATGTTGACAATCATTTATTTTAAATTATGTCTATATTTTGTTTTAGATCATTTTTAAATAAGTGTAATCATAGATAAGTATTGACAATTTTCAATACTTGGAAATCCAAGTCTGAAGGAAATAAAGTATTCTATTCTATTCTATTCTATTCTACACCCTGTATATAGTTTTGTGCGTTCCTCCCGACTCACCCTGTATATGGATGGATATAATACAATATCGTTAGTTCTACAATTATTGGTCACATAATCTTCCATTCCCACTCATGAATCAGGGTTGTTAGGTCATCAACTCTAATGAAGTTATCAAAAAGAGGTTATGAGTCCTGTCGTTGAATAAAACATAATAGGATATGATATTATAGTTCGTTCTTGACTTTCTCGAACAGCCAGCATGTCCAATTATTTCTAATACCCCATAACAAATATCATGTTAACATTGGAGACTTGGCAACATTTTGCTGAATGCTGAGAACTGACAAGACACCGCCCACAATTCGTGCGCCGTAATGTCATGTTTACCAGTTCAAATGTCCTCTAGTATGAATGAATATAATTATTATTTACACAAATGTATTATTAGCAATAAGCCACAACACAAGAGAGGAATATACCAATTAGTCATAGGATAGGAGAGAACGAATAGGAAAGCATTTCTACAAAAAATATAGTTTATTCCATTTAAAATATAAAATTGATGATCATTCGAAAAATTCAACATTAGCAGTTCATTATAAGTTACCCTGTATTCAAATATATGCTTCATTGAAGCAATAGTCGAAGTATCATCAAGGTTTATGCATAATTTTGGATGGAAATTTCAAAAACGAAGATAGGCAGACATATTGGAATCAACATTTTCCTTGTAATGCAATTCTCAGATTCTTCGAAATAATCCTAGTTAACTGTGCTAACTTCCATTCTAATTAGGATGTTTTCCCATAGTTTTTAATGTCATGAATAAAATACATCAGGGTGTTCTATAAAAAAAGTCGCAATTCATGTAGCCCTGAGTTCAAGAAACATCATGCAGAGATCAGAATGGTTTTGATTTGTAGACCTTAAGATATTGTACTGTATCCCCAAAAATATTTTTTGTATTGCATATTTCAATTAAGCTATATAGAGCTTTTCCACACTATATGTGGACTCCTTGTATAATACAGCTATTTCATTGGTTGATAGTTACTAACAAGGTCAACTGTTATCTTGAACAATTCGAGATAGGTTGAAGACATGGATTCTTCAATATGTACTATACCCATTCAACCATCTTGTGATATCAACATCAATTTGAGGTAACAACGTTGGACCAATGCGATGTCTAGTTATTGCATCTAATCAACATAAATTTGTTATGAAAGTCACAAGGTTACAGGAGCAGTTACGTCACAACCAGGAAAATTGATATTCAGATAAGACATTCATTACATAAACACTCTTGTTTTTATGATTAAATACAGTTTGTGAGAACAATACATACAGTTGAATTTAAAATTGCATTACATAAATCTTGAAAGAATATTCCCTAGAATATGTTTCTGATTAGTTATGGAAAGACCTGGGGAAAGACTTGAGCAGACTTATATTTGTACTCTCAATGTGGAACTTTATGGAAGAAGATATCTTAGGAAGAGGCCAAATGACATGAAAAGAAGAAGTATATTTATCAGTTCTACCAACTCTAACCTCATGTTTCAGTAGCAGAATTTGGTGGACAATAAATGACGTTAGTCCCCATTACTTGTATTAAAAAGATGAGGTAATCTAAATATCAAATACATTTGTTTCACATCATTATATTTTTTCATATGCATGACTTTGGGAATGATATTTTATGGTCAGACTGATTTTAGCTTGGATTTCAGTGTAGAATTGGGCATTCCATCTGAGTCGAAACAAGACCTACATCCAGACCTACATCTTTTATGAAAAAATTTTACAATTTTCAATTTCTGTCGATATTGCAAAAAATGATTGCTGACAAAAAAGTAAAGGCTAAAAGTACCCTAATCTGACCTTGTTTAATACCATTCCACTTAATTGGGAACTTTAAAATTTGGTGAACATTATCAAATTCAGCATAGAAAGTTATGGAAATCATGATGAAATAAAAACATCTTCCAGAAAGCCTCTTGAGGCTGTAAGTAATGTTTATTCAAACTTTTTTCTGATTTTCAGATTTCAGAAACAAAAATAATATAAAAAAATACACAGGTTCCTTAGGAATATTATTTTTACTTGTGGTTAAAAATGCATACTCAGTTATTTCAGAATTTTATTTTGCTAATTCAAAAGGATCATTGAGTTTATGGGGAATCATTATAGTAGTGACAATTTTTAATTCTTCTGAAATGAATTCAATGGAACAGGTATCATTGAAACATGTACTTTCTGTATCCTGGTTATACATGACACATAATAAAGCAAAATTCAACAAAAAACGAAAATAATTATCAAAGTGAGAATAATTGTAGGTATCTTACCTTGAATGAAATGAGTGTGAATTTGCTTTTCCTATCATTCAGAGTGGATTTTAATGAGTAGAAACCGTAGAAACACTTCAATAAACGGTATCAATCTTTCAAAACAATGTCTACAACTCTACAAGTCTACACTCTACATTTTGATAAAATTTTTCATTTTTCCTGTGAAGCTTGACAATTTTACTTTCAACAGTTTGACGTTTGACCTAACCTTAGATTTACGTCGACTTCTTATTTCCTGTTATTCTGTACTGACTAGTGAAATGAATGTAGGTTCTTCTTTTTCTTCTTCTTTCTTTTCAATGGCCTCTGTTCTGTAAGACAATTGGCCAGCACATTCCTTTTGATTTGTTTGGGCCACCCTTAAGGTGTGTCTGAGATTAACTCATACCCTGACTGGTTTGAGACTTCCTATTGGTTTTGGAAATTCACAGTTTCAAAGTCCTCTTAGCTGTAAAACTTGGTTGACAATTATTACACACACAGATATAGACTTTGTTTCTAGGTTTTGGGTGTGGGAGTTAGTAAGACAGATAGCACAACAAAGGTATAGACTCTTCTCGATCCGGGGCAACGGCGGATCTTTCACAACCAGAAATGTTGCCTCGGTTAGGTAGCACCCAGGTGTATAAAGATAGGGATTCTGGAAAGAATTTCACTTATTAGAGGTTTATTTTGTTATGGTTCAGAAATTTGATAAGGAGTAGCATTGTTTTTTGGTTCATATGATATAAAACTGTTAAAATGTTCATTGGAGTAGGTATTCCGATTCTTCTAAATTCATTGTACATGTCTATATTGGGTATCATGTTAATTGGGCATTGGAAAAATATGTGTTCTAAATCCTCAATTTGTCCACATTCACAGTATGGATTAGTCTTGATATTCATTCGATATAGATGTGTTGATGTCAAACAATGTCCTGTCCTCATTCTAATAATAGTTGTGATATGTTTTCTGTCTACAAATGGGTATTTGGAATACCAGGGCTTCATTGGGAAGTTGGTTTGAATTTTGGAATACCATCGTCCTTTGTTTATGGTAGATGCTTTCCATTCTTGTGCGAACCCGTTTTTAATTTTTCTTTTAAGTACTGGTAGAAGTTCGTTTCTATCTAGTTTAATATTTGTAGGAACGTTGAGAGCTCGGCCTATGTTTGCCAATGTGTCAGCCACTTCGTTTCCTTCGATTCCTGTATGTCCAGGAATCCAGGCTAGCTTGTAGTCCATTCCAGCTTGATTTGCTTCTACTATGATTGCTTTGGTAATTAAGGAAATAAAATCAGATGAGGCCTGTATGTTATAATTCGACATTTTTTTAATTGCACTTAGTGAGTCTGAATGTAGGTCACTCACGTAGCTAAAGCTGCTAAAGGGCTTTCACGCTGCGTTGATAGTGACGTCAATATACATATACAGTGTTGCCAGTTGAAAGGAAATGACTGAATGACCAACCGACCGAATATGGATATGTCTAGTGCTACGATCGTCGGACGTAATAATGTTTTTTGGAACCAACTCAAAAGCCGTCCATTTATGTTTCAAAATCAGCACTCGAAGTTGATATATGAACTTTAATATTTGTATTTGATGAACCATGCACCTAAACAATATACTGAATATGAAATTTAATGATAATGAAATTCTTATAAAGAATAATAACTTGAAGAATGATTTATTATGTAACAACATCAACAAATAATCACAGATATTGACATTGAAAATAACTTATTTCCCTACCAATACACAATTATGTCTTGAATTGATCGTTTTGAATTATTTTAATTTGGTGAAATAAAATAGAAATTCGATCAATTGATTTTATTTCGTGGAAAAATGAATAGTGGTGCATCTACTTATATTGGAAATTATGAAATAGACAACAAAAGTTGTTCTTACTTCAATATTCTCAATATAGTTTATGAGGAAAACCCACAAAAACTCATGAAACCACTATGTCATTACAATAAACTGACACAAATCATATTTGGATCATTCGGACAACACAGAATATCATTATTAATACCTATTAATACCATCATTCAACTTACATCTCTCACAGCAGTCATTGGGAGTAATGGACCATCTTCTGCGCCTACGCACTCAATGGTTTAAGCGTTTTGAATAAATCGAATTTCACCTATCACCACAAATAAATCACAAACAATTCCTTGAAAGGACAAATTGTCAGTAATAAATAATTGTCAGAAATCAGCTGATCACAACAAATCGCTTCTAGAAATGTCAAATGAATCTGGCATCGGTGTACAGTTTTGCCAACGCAAATCGATAACGCGGTTCGCCCATTTCGAAAATTACTAGTATTTTTCGATGTGCAGTTTTGGCACGACATTGTTACCAAGTATTGCGCAACTATCAACCCAGCGTGAAAGCCCTTTATCACTGAATTCCGTGAAAGTGACAGATACTTGTGAAGCTATATTCCGAATTCAACTGACAGTACTGAATCTACTGATTTTTCATTCCAAAATCAAAAAAATCACTGAATGTGACAGATGCTTGTGAGCAGATATTTCGACTCAACATTCTGCTGAAATTGCTGAGTATCAAAAGGTAGTGTGGCTTCAGTAAACTGTCATTATTTTAGAGGGGGAAGGAATGTAACATTTATTTCCGTTGTTAATCATATTATTTTCGATATCAGAAAATACCCGTTATCGAATTAATAAACGCTGAGAATATACAGTATGATGCAAATGTATGGAATAAATTCATTTCAAAACAAGACGACTTTCGAAAAAAAAACAAAAACTAGAGTTTAGAACTTTTTTTTCGACGTATTTTTTCAACTAGACGACCCTTCGATGTTCAATTCTCAGTAGCAGACCTCTGCAAGATTCAATTAATCACATGATAATCCATTTTAATTTCAATCTCCTTATGCAACATTTTGACTGTTGAATAGACGATCGGTAGACCTTTCAATCAAGGTGTCACATGACCCCTATTTGTATTTGAAAAAATCGTCTATTCCGTCTTTACTCCAACACCGGTGACGTAACATCTCTCATATGAATATCATGAGATGAGGCTTCAGAAATTAAAACTCACGTGTTTTTGGAATTTTTTCAAATGTCGCCCATTTCTATAAATAATGAATTTATTCCATACATTTGCATCATACTGTATATAATATAGAGATTATATAGAGTATGAAGTAGAAGAGAGGTGACGAAAGAAGAAGCAGCATTGGGTAGATGAATATCTAAATAAACCTGAAATGTTTCCTGAATTCATCATCATTGATGCCATATTACATAAATGTCCAAGAATTCTTCATCACTCGAGCTTGAATCGTCATCGTCAACAATCGAAGAAACTATGAAGGCTACAAGAACCGATTGTTCTTTCATGTTAAATATTATATTTCTAAAATGTATGTCAAGCAGGAGGCAAAATAATCTAGTTCAGATAAACGAGATACTACATACTGAAAATTTTGACCAGCTGATCAACTGCTGATGCTGAGTACTGATGAAAACCATGAAAACGTGTCCCGAATTGAAACACTGTACTTTTGATTTTATGTTTCGGAACACATATTTTCAGCAGAGTCAGTGGATCTGCTGACAGTACTGACCAATTGAATTCGGATCGCAACCCAGTCACTACATTGGAAGTCAGCAAGAAAGTCAGATACACAGACCACTAAACTATCGTAGTAGTAATAATTTCTCAATATAAAGAAGGAAGAAATGGAAGAAATATCATGTGTTGTTGGTGACGTCACTTGACCTCGATGTCTGAAGATTAGCTGTTCTAGCTAGACGCTTGTACACTGGAATGATTGTGTTTTCTCGTCGATATTTACGAAAGCGTAGAAGCGCCACATGATATATTTTTTTAATAATTGACAGATATAACTGTCAACTAGCCTAATTGACAGATACTAAGTCGTAAGTAGTATACTTGACAGATACTAAGTCGTAAGTAGCATACTTGACAGATACTAAGTGGTAAGCAGTATACTTGATAGATACTAAGTCGTAAGTAGCATACTTGACAGATACTAAGTGGTAAGTAGTATACTTGACAGATACTAAGTCGTAAGTAGCATACTTGACAGATACTAAGTGGTAAGTAGTATACTTGACAGATACTAAGTCGTAAGTAGCATACTTGACAGATACTAAGTGGTAAGTAGTATACTTGACAGATAGGCCAAGAAACTCGCCATCGCCAAAAAACAAAGAAGATTAAGAAGAAGAAGAATACAATGCCAACCTAACCAACAACAATGGATTAGGGAGACAAGATAGGATGAAAATCACTTCGGATTCGGAATCAGAGGACGTCCAATTTTTGCATGACAATGTTTAAATTTATATATTAAATAACAATTTGCTCAATTCCCAACAATTAACTTCAGAATCAAAATCTGCACCATGTACAGGGCCATTTCTGTACACAGGGAGTTTCTTAAGTACGTGTACAAAATTCAGGAGCATATGTTGCTGACGTCAAAATAAAAAGAAAAGTTTTTATAAACATATGTCCACAAGTTATTCGTTTCTGAGATACAGAGTGTCAAAGTTTCATTGTCATTCCGGTTTTTGGTGAATTCGAGTGAGATACCAAATTTATTCCCAAAAAACAGGAATAAGAATCCTTTGACACTCTCTGTATCTCAATAATGAATAACTTGCGGACATATAATGTTTATACGAACTTTTCTTCTTATTTTGACGCCAGCAACATGCTCCTGATTTTTTTACACGTACTCAAGAAACACCCTGAATATTTAAAGAGCTTCTACAGGGTTTATCATTGAAGATAGAAACAAACTTCAAATACAAAAGTTGTAGGTTGTAGAGGGTGTGTTGTCAACATCCAGAAAATTGTACGAGGTGAAATATAAAGACCCAAAAATACCATAATATTTAGAGAAACCTAAATACGTATTTCAGCAACTAAATTGCCAACCTGTAAAGTAAAAATGATTAGCTATAACTCCTTCGATTTATCTTTCGGATATTGTCTAGAGGTCGACCTGCAATATCCGAAAGATACTAAGGAGTCAGCCACTATGCGAGTCAGCTATAATCATTTTTACAGGTCTACTGAGGATGGCAACTTAGTTGCCAAAATACGTATTGTGGTATTTTTTGGTCTTTTTATTTTGTATTTTAGTACTTATAACCAGTCTCCAAATCTTCACTGTACGAGGTGCTGATATAAGAAATGGGTACCAACTTCGTTATTTTAAATGGAACACCCTATACATATTTTTCGAATGAATTGAGAATCCTCCTTTTCTGATTTCAAAAATATATAGGTTGTTGAGCCGGTTCAGCCGTTCATGAGGCTTTACGAGGTCGAACACTAAGAATTAAAAAAAAAAATGTCATACAAGAGCTTATGCAGTATTTTGTTGTATTGATATGTTACAGTTGAATCATCATTGATAAGTCGACTAGCTCTGAGCCAGTATCTGTCAAGTATGCTACTTACGACTTAGTATCTGTCAAGTATACTACTTTTACCACTTAGTATCTGTCAAGTATGCTACTTACGACTTAGTATCTGTCAAGTATACTACTTACCACTTAGTATCTGTCAAGTATGCTACTTACGACTTAGTATCTGTCAAGTATACTACTTACGACTTAGTATCTGTCAAGTATATATACTACTTACCACTTAGTATCTGTCAAGTATGCTACTTACGACTTAGTATCTGTCAAGTATACTATACTTACCACTTAGTATCTGTCAAGTATGCTACTTACGACTTAGTATCTGTCAAGTATACTACTTACGACTTAGTATCTGTCAATTAGGCTAGTTGACAGTTATATCTGTCAATTATTAAAAGAAATATATCATGTGGCGCTTATACGCTTTCGTAGATATTGGAGAAACTTTATTTATCATCATTGTCATGCCCTCATTTTCAAATAAGTGTTCAATTCAATGACTGAGCTGCGTTCTTTTCTAAATGCCCTAATATTATGAACGAATGAATTAATGAGAAGTAATAAATTTATGTAGATAGCTTTGGAATCTTTGGAACAAATAAGAAGCACATGCAGTCACATCACATATTGAGATCTGTAAATATTTCCACTATAGTACCTATTCCTAATTGCTTCCTATAGGATTTGGAAATCTCTTAATCCAAATTTGTATTGAATGTTACACTTCTTACACATAAAGAACTCAAAGATGCGATGTGAATGAGAAGGGAGAATGCATTTCAAATATTTGCTGCACTCTCAGATGGAGCGATTTTTGGCTAAGTGATAGTTGGTCAGCAGTTCAGCAGAATGTTAAATTCGTTCCTAATGAATGAAGAGGATAGTTGGCTTCATTCTGACACAAGTGTATCTCGGCAGGAGCCTGCCGCTTCCGCGTCTAAAGCTTAGTTTATTGCTAGGCGATTTTAGCGGTCACGATGCTAACGATATAGGTCGCGTGCACGATGACCGACCCTGGAGGCAAAATATTGAAACACAACCTCTCTCTTCTGTGAATTATTGAAACACAACCTCACTTTTTTTTTGTTTATAGAGGAATCAAAAGGTTGAAATAGTTTTTCACAATATTTTGGCATATGAATCATGTTTCTTGCGTTATTCATTATTTCTAGCATGCCTTCGCATTGTGCTGTTGTACAATGCACAAAAAATGCAGCAAGAGACTAGGGAATATGATTTTTCAGGTAAATAGTAATCTCACATAGTTATCATTATGAAATGTTGTCATTCCTTATTAAAATTCCTTCTGCCTTCTGCCACTTCTGCAATACAAGCTAATACTGCTAATAGATTGAAAATGTCTACAACACACACGATATCGTCAGCATGTCAGACCAGTCCTCCCGATTGATTGCATGAATCCAATCTTCTTGCATTATTCTAGAAATTTCAGGTATATTTCTATTAGCTCCTATTGCAGAAGGAATTCCGATGAGAAATCAGAGAAATAACCAAATCTCAAAAATGAAAACTATATGTGAGTGACTATAGTAGGTACTTATTTTCAAATCATAATATACCATCCGGATTCCTTCATCTTCCGCTGCAGTCTTTGTGCATTTTACAACAGCACAATGTGATGGCATGAGCGAATTGATGAATAGCGGAAAAATACGATTCATATGCCAAAATAATTGTGGAAAACTATTTCGATCACTTGTAAATAAGAAAAGTGACGTTGTGTTTCAATGTTTTGCCTCCAATGTCGGTCATCTGACAGTTCTTGTGATGGTAGTAAGATATATGGTGTAATCACTGATGCGCTTTTGTTTCAGAAATTTTACTCGACCACTCGAGAGCAATGGTTCCGTTGATCTTCTAATATATGGTGACATTGCACAATTATGACTTCTGTCAGTTTTGAAATTGTCGGAGATTTTTCGAATTCAAAGTTATTTAATCCCACTGTCACATATGTTTCGTGTACCTAAAATGGCATTTGCCATTTTATTTCCACTCGTCACAGCAGCAATAGCATCATCACCATCTAGCGGGAAACTGTAGAATCAACGTCTTGCTCGTTGTGACGTACAGAAATCATAGTAGACCAGTCGAGTGATTTTTCTGAAATTTTCAATACGTAATAATGGCCGAATACGCGCACCACTCAGGCGCACCATATCTTACTTCCATCATTCTAACGATGAAACCTGGTGGCGTTATTATTGGTCAATTTGAATTAGTAAGCTACTATTGAACAATAACCCATGTAGCACTCGACGTTCTGGAGACGTCCATTTTAGGGCCGATTCAGGTCTGAACATCCAAGACCTCAAGACGTACTGAAAACGTCAATTTCCGTACGTACTGGAACTCTGGACGTTATCGACTCTTTGTAGACGGGAACGAATAAATTGTATGATGATAATTGAAATCATTGCATATAATTTCTACCCTCGATCTCTGATATCTATTCATGTAGGAACCTTGCAAACATGAACATAACACAATTCTCACGATTTATTTTTCAACGGCCGTACCTAATCACAAAAGATTTGTTTAGGTATTCTCTCCGGTGATCATCTAATTCTATGAAAATTTCAATGTGAAGGGCCAATCGACATTCGCACATAATCTCTTGTTGTATGTTGTATATACTGATATATTAATAAGTGTTCTGTAGAGTAATAGGTTGAGCATCCTTCTAGTAATCTAAATCAAGAAGACACTGCACGTTGAGGCGTTCTTTAAATAAGAAAAATGGGGATCCGATGAAAAAATATGGAAAACATGATGCCATTTGAAAAAAAAGTTGACATTGGCAGACGTTACTGTCAGAACCTGTATCAATCACTGATACACCAATGAAATAATACAAACAGCCGCGATATTGATAGTATTGTTATTGTTATCAACATTGAATAAGTATATACATCTCAATAACTCCATTGAGAAGAGTGTTGCATAGCTCAAAAGAAATCCGCCGCTTTCTTCCTACTAGGCAACTTCAGCAAATCATCCGTAGACAAGTCTTTGCCCTGCTTCAAGTTGACCAATGGCGTGGACCCTCGCCTGGGCGTGCTTTTCCGCCCAATAACAGGACTGGGAGAATATGCGGACCTCAGGGGCGAGTAGGCGGACCTCAGGTCCGAGCCTGAGCCGAGGCCGAGTCTCAGGCGCGCCGTTGCCAGCTTCCGCGCGGCAGGTGACATCGTTGCCAGTCTGTCGATGGCGCTGGTGTGGGGTCTCGGCGACGGTCTGGAATACAGGGCGATGAAATAGTTATTTAACCAACTATAGTGTATTAAAATGAGGACAAATCATGATCATGAAAAGTAGAGTCCCTTGATGGAAAGAGACGTTGAAGTCATCTTAACAGGGTACGGAAAGATCATAGCTGCATTCTTTTTTAATGATCTAGAGACTTTAGTTTTGTCTACTGGCATCCCTGACATTGCTGTCACGTCACATCCATGGGCGCTACAGAAAATCATTCAAAATTTCAATAATAGGTATGTACAGGGTATTTACTTGAGGAAAATCATATGGCGAACGAGTTTTGTAAATATGATCCGATTCTATTCAAAATTGGAAGGTATTTGGGGTTTTCCGGGGTTGGAGATAATGATTGTTTCGCCAAACTTGGAAAATTCAAGATGACGGATACAATATATAGCGAACGAAATTTCTAATTATGATCTGATTCTATTTAAGATTGGCATCTGGGGGTTTTCGGGGTCGAAATTCACGAGTTTTTGTCACAATTGGGAAATTCAAGATAGAGGATCCAATATGGCGAACGAATTTTGTAATAATGATCGATTCTATACAAAAATCAAAATTGGTATCTGGGGATTTCCGGGGTCGGAGATTCTAATAATTTCGTCAAAATTGGGATATTCAAGATAACGGATCCAATATGGCGAAAGACATTAGTTCATATAATTATTACTCTACCACAAATAGAAAATATGTAGGATGCCAGAGTAAAAATAACGTTCCTATAAGTTATACTGCGTACACCAACTTCTTTGTTATTTTCATGAATAGATTATTCGAAAATGACTTTTTATTTGAGGGAGGCGAAAAAATCATATGTATAACATGGGGGTAAAGTATATTATTCTATTCTTTATTTTCCTGCACATTTTACGTATTACTTTTTATCAGCCTACTTTTCGTCCCAGACGAAGTTTTATACATAGTGATATTAGTCACTACATAAATTCATCTCCGAATTGGAATTCCGAAAATATATTTAGCACACATAACATGAGTACAGTAGTTCAGATACCCACATTGAGGTTTCCACCATTTCTCAATCATAAGGCTCAGCTCATAGATAAACTTCTGCTCAGCTTGAAATCAGAATTCATTTAGTCAATTCAGTCAATCCTGGTATACAGTCTAAGAACAATCTCTTTTGGTGAAATATATTAAGCTTTCAGTACAATTAATATGTTCCCTACCTCACAAAGATTATGCTGGAGTAGTAAACTCTAAAACTAGAGGATTGTTCATCTATATCTTGGTATAGATGAATCAGGAATTCCATATGGAAATTACGTATGATACGCCAGTGACCTCAATATAACATAAAAAACAACGAATGTCAAAAATCTAGTGTTTATCCCCCAGAATTGAATAAGGATAGAACTATATAACTGTTTCACAAACACACTCTAGAGTGAGAGGAGACGAGGATCTGTCCGTACCCTGTTAAGATGACTTTAACGTCAATTTCCATCAAGGAACCCTAATGAAAAATAACTAGAATACAAAATGAATTCTCAGTTGCCAAGTAATATACAAGATGTTTGGTTCACCGACACATATCTTGAAAAGGGAATAGGTGGGAAAATGTTCAACATATTAATTGACCCATATACAGTGTGACCAAGTTAAGGTTGCACAGCATGGCGATCTCGGAAACAGGAAGAGATACGATTTTGGTTAAATGTCGAAAAAGTTGAGCATTCCGTGTGTCCTACCTATGGATTTCGTAAATTTTCAAAATTGACTGTCTATTGAATTTTTCTTTTAGGTTTCTGATACGGAAATTTTGAGCTCAATGACATGTTTGGACGGATCATTTGTTCCGAGTTTTTTATTCTCTTGAGACCTCAGGAGAAAAAAATCACGAATATAGAGATAAAATGAATATTCACAAAATTGAGTGGATAAAAAAGCTAAAACTTACGATGCAAATTGTCTTCTCTGCGCATCAAGATTTTTCTTTTTCTGGTTTCTGGTATTCTCTCCGACTTTCTCGGCTAACGCCAGCGCCAGCTGTTCTCGTCTAGGCGGGTCACAAATTTTGAAAGAAGGTCCTTGTGCCCTGAAAAAATTCACTCTATCGTATTAACAAGTTCTTGACAACCATAATATACAGAGTGTCCCTATAAGGTCTTTACAACATCTTACCACACATGCCTCAGACGAAAATAATTACATTAGAGAAAAGTAGAAGGTGACTAAAAAGTTTCTTAGTTTGGGCGCTAGACGCTTCTGATGTTACAATATGCGGTATCTTTTTGCTATTTTTTATATTCTGTTGAGCTTAGCAATAGCTACTATTATATGCCTACTTATACCTATTTTCATTCTCTCAGTATCTGTTTTTTGTTTTGTTGTTTTAGGTTTTGAAAATTCTGTATAACTGGAGGACTAAAAAAATTCCAGGTAAATTGAAAATGATCGATTATAACAGCATACAAATTGTAAGCTATTAAGTCAACTGCAAGTTGGAAAACTTATAATAGAATGTGACCTATGTGAATCACCCAGTAAAAGTTATTTTCCGTCGACCTCGTATTAACGACTAAGTTTAATGTATATGAAATCGTTCATTAATGACCCCTATTAATGGACGATTTGTCTATTAATGCACGATTGTTTTATAGGCAACCAAACATACACCGCGTGCAGTCATTGTTTATGCTATAACTAGCGGAATCTGCATTTAAATCGAAAATATGGATTTCATCGACGATTTTCCGTTAACGGGTTCGCCTTTCCAAGTTTCTGACAAGATTTTAATCCCTGTTTTCTAACACAAGGAATTTATTTCCTATGTTGATCATTTCGACAAATGTCAAATGACACTAATGTCAGTAACAAGGCTACTGGGTGATTCTTAGCAGTTTCCGGATGGATGATGAATTCGCGAGCGCGAACCAAGTTTTCTTCATTGCAGGAGAAATGAGTAATATAGTCGACGGAAAAATTTTGTAACCAACTTGTATATTAAAAGGCGATTAATGATCTCGAACATTAACGCACTCGCTTCGCTCGCACGTTAAAATATCTCGATCATTAATCTTCCTCATTAATACACTAGTTGGTTCAATAACTATTATTGTATCGTGTGAAATGCATAATAGCCAAAATACTCGAAGTGGAATGAAAAGAAGAATAAATACAGGGTATCTATAAATGATCTACTAATGCTGTTAAAAACACTGAAACGACCAAAAAGAGAGGAAGGATCTTTTTTAAGCATTTTTGCATACACTATGGAAGTGTATCTCAAAGAAAGGCGAGTATAACATTGGAGTTTGAAAAATAATGGAACAATTTGAAGATATTCATTAATTAAAGAAGTAATGAATAACGGTTTATTTCAATAACCCACATTGAATGTTCAAAATGTTCTCCGTTGTTCCCAAGCATTTCATAACTCTTTGTCGCCGTTTGTTGCCAAAAATGTTCCTCAGCATTTTATTATTATTATTATTCATTAAATCAAGTAGAAAATACAGGGTGAGTCATGACTAACCAGCCATAGCCCAATGGCGGAAAGAGGAGGTCAAGGTGAATTGATATATATATAATGAAATATTTTTTGCCTATTCTTTACAGAAATACAGGGCATTATTTGAATTCGGGGCAAAACTCCAATGAACGATATTTCAGGAACGTCTCGATGTTATCGGCTGAAATTCACTAGCAACTTACCTCTAATGACACTCCACAAGATGACGTACTATGAATAAAAAATTCCAGATCCAGACTTGGAAAACTCATTTTCTCTTTAGACGTCAAAATTTTGACCTTCTAGATCGGATTTTTCGAAAACTTTTATCAGAATCAGGAAGATCAGGAAGTATACTACAAGTATGGCTTTTCAATTCGTACGGCACACTTCGATCGTTTTGGTAAAAAAATATCAAACAAAATACCGATGAATTTTTCTTCGATTTCGTCCGGGCATATCACTCTCTACATTCGACTAAAAGTAATTAAATCAAATTTTTCCCTGTAAAGATTCAACAGCACACTTGAGAAAAGGTATAATTCAATTAAAAATTCAGGACGGGACTTGATTTTGGAAAATAAAAATCATAATTTCCGAAAAAGATTTGTCAGAATCTCAATATTAATCAAGATTCTCAAAATGTCCTCCTCCAATTTCTAAACATTTTCTGCATCTCTTCGGGAGACCTCTTATGGCTTTTCCAATAATTTGCCTATTATTTCTGATTATATCTGCAGCTGTAACTATCCTCTCCCTCAGTTCGTCTCTGGTGTTGACTTCAGTCTGATAGATCAATTGTTTCATATGCCCCTAAAGAAAATAGTCCAAAACTGTGAGATCAGGGGACCTAGGAGGCCAAGAATGAGGGCCGCCACGACATATCCAGCGGTTAGGAAAATGGGTGTCCAGGTATTCTCTCACTTGTATTGAGAAATGTGGAGGTGCCCCATCCTATTCCTACCTATCCTTTACTTTCAATTTAAATACATAGAAACAATAATGAAATATGGGAAGAAATGGTTTAAAAAGATAATCGTTTTTTTTTTTGCATTTTCTATAAACCAGGCTTTAAACCTTTTTTAAGAGTTATAATATTTAGGCTTTTTATTTTTGATGGAATTCTATTGAAAAGTTTAGATGCAATAAAACTAGAAAGTTGTTCCAAAATTTTGAGCTTATGTTTTTCAAGTCGCACAGGCGCACATTGTTTATTTTCGAGTTTATTTTGTTTCTTGTATCATAACTATGATTGATTTTATTTGTTATCGTTGGAAATTATTGATTGAATTATCCTAATGATTTTGATTATTTTACAAATTGAGGAAGTTAATTGAATTCATTTAAGCGCCTCTAGGAAACATGCTGCTATTCATTCCAAATTTAGTAGGTACTTATTAATTTTTTCGATGTAAAAATTATTATTTCCTCTTGTATTTTGAACATGAACATTAATTATTACTGAATACTTTGTGACTGGGTGGCAACATCTTAAATACAAAGATCATAGGCATATACAGAGTATATCTTTATATCGAGAATCAGTCGAGAGAAATCCATGAAAATGTGCAATGCTTATATTTCAGAATACGTTCTCTTCATTTGAACTATTTTCGGCAATGCAGTGTTCTACTAAGAGTAGTAGCAACATTAATATTTCAATTGGAACACCCAGTATTATATTGCATTTTTAGATTCTACCTGAAGAGCTGATTTCATCAATACATCACACTTGGGGTCTATCGGAAATGATTACAGAGATATAGGGTGTTCAAAATCGAGATTTTTCAACTTTAAGATTTTTATGTGTCGAAACTATTCATTATCGGTCAATACAGCTTACATGTCCCAATCTCAACTTTTGATTCACTATTTACTGATATTTAATCGGAACAGATACAGGGTGGTTCAAAATTCAGAATTCTGATCACCCTGTATCTGCTCCGATTGAATGTCAGTAAATAGTAAATCCAAAGTTGAGACAGGAACATGTGAGCCGTTTTGGCCGAATATGAATAGTTTCGACACAAACAAATCCTAAAGTTGAAAAATCTCGATTTTGAACACCCTATATCTTTGTAATCATTTCCGATAGACCCCAAGTGTGATGTATCGATGAAATCAGCTCTTCAGGAAGAATCTAAAAATGCAATAAAATAAAGGGTATTCTAAACTACGCAACACTAATTTCGTCGTACCCCAAAATTTTATTCCTGTTAAAATATGAATACATTTTTCTGCTTTGAACAATTTGAATTCGGATTACACTGTTTACTAGCCCAGTCTTTCAGTTATAATCTCGTTCTTCTTTAAAACATGAGGTTCTTCATATAAAATCGCTACAGGATGTGACCTGAAATTGTGAAAAATTTCGGAATTTTCAAAAGGATCCCAAATGAACAAAAAATTGTTTTTTTCAACTTCAACAGCAGTGGCATGAAGATGATCTCATTACCTAGGGATATTTTTCGAATTGTCTTCTTATCCCTTTTATTTACAGAGTGATCCCAAAAAATTAACTTTCTGGTTTTCCAGTCAGAAATATCATTTTGAAGCTAATACTTCAGATGAAGAGATATGAAGATCAGAATTGACTCAGAACCCCTTTATGTTTTGTAATTGTTGAGTTAGGATTCTAAAACTCACAGGAGCGGGAGGTATACTGAAAATAAACACTATGACCAAGTGGAATCATCTCCAGAGGTAAACACTGCTTGCCAATAGCCATGGAATCACCCAAATTTCTGGAAAATGTTATTAGAAGCCAAGATAGGTTGAAAATCCCTTCAGATTCGAAATCAAGACGTCCAATTTACTGACTATACTTAGTATTCCTGGAAAATTTTCAGATCAGAAAAGCTTAATTTTGTATCACTTCTCATGGAAGCAACCCCGTATCTCACGTAATTATTGAGGTAAGGTTCTGGAAATTTGCAGGTGGAAGCAAAAGGGACGCCCTGATTTCGAAATCGAAGTGATTTTCAACTTATATTGCCTCCTTATATAATATTTGTGGGTGGTTCCATGGCTGATGGCGAGCAGTGTATATCACTGGAGATAACTCCACTTGGTCATAGTGTGTATTTTCAGTATATCTACCGCTCTTGTATATTTCAGAATTCTAACCCAACAATTAGGAAAGATAAAGGGGTGCTTTCATTAGAAGTGAGACACACTGTATAATGTTCATCTTGAGTAAATTCTGATCTTCATATCTCTTCATCTGAAGTTTAAGCTCCAAACTGAGCCTGAGATTTCAAAAATCGGTTGGCGAGGAGAAAAGTTATGACTGCAAAACCAAAAAGTTAATTTTTTGAGATCACTCAATAAATAAAAGAGATAATGAGACAATTCAAGAACTGTCCCAAGATAATGAGATGATCTACATACCTCTACTATCAAAGTTAAAAAAAGTATTTCCTCATTTGAGATACTTTTGAAATTTCCGAAATTTTGCACAGTTTCAGGTAACACCCTGTAGCGATTTTATGTACAGAGCCTTATGTTTTGAAAAACTACGAGATTATAGCTGAAGGACTGGGCTAGCAAACAGTGTGATCTGAATTCAAATCGTGCAAAGCAGAAAAAAGTTATTCATATTTCAACAGAGGCAACATTTTGGGGTGTGACGAAATTAGTGTTGCATAGTTTATTTGAAATAACAAAGTTGTAGCTATTTTTTTATAGAAGCGGCAACACTGCATTGCTGAAATAATTTTAAATGAAGGGAGCATATTCTAAAATATAAGCATGTATATTTTCATGGATTTCTCCCGGCTGATTCTCGATATAGAGATAGTTTAAGCTCGCCGTGACATCAAACAGCAATAAGATCATTATACATTCCAATAGGAATGAGGCTATATTCCAAATTCAACTGGCAGTACTGAATCTGCTGATTTTCCATTCCAAAATAAAAAATATTCACTGAAAGTAACAGATACTTCTGAGCAGACATAATATACATTCCAAATATTTCAACATTCTGCTGAAATTGCTGATTATCAAAAGGTAGTGTAGCTTCAGTGAACTGTCATTATTTTAGAGGGAGAAGGAATGTCACATTTATTTCCGTTATTTTTTTAAACATCAAGTCTTGTCTTATCAATGATTAATTGAAAATATTATATTTAATATCAGGAAATTCCTATTATTCAGATAATTGCCGTTGAGAATAGATTTTCAGCAGAGTCAGTGAATTTACTGACAGTTCTGACACTGACCAAATGAATTCGGAATATATCCAGAATCAACGGGATTCAGTATTCAAAAATTACCACATACAATGAAGTTTCAAAAACTGAAAGCATGCTTTATTGAAATGATTTACTACAACAAAAGTTAAGATGTATTTCACTACAACAAAAATAACTTATTTTTGCGCCATGTTTGTGGATGGACCGATTCAGGTAGTATTGAATCGTGCATTTTGATTGCACAGAAGACTAAAATATCAATATAAATAATGTCATTCGTGGTCAAGTCACTGAATAGCAGAGAATCTGCAGGGTATCATTCAATAGAAAACAACTACTTTCCTGGCTATATGCCATGACGAACATTGAATTATATCTATTGAACGCACAGGAAAAGAATTTGAAAAACAAGAAGTTGAGAATTTGCATTCTTCTTCAGATGAAAATATGTATATGCACATAATGTCATTCTAAATATTCATCAGAAAACAACTACTTTCCTGGCTATTTGCCACGTTGAAAATTAAAAAAAAAAAGAAAGAAGTTTTTCAGATACTTTGTTTACAAATATAATCAGCATGACTATTCAGTTTCAAGTTTTTTTTGAATAGTTTGAAGTTCAAATTGTACTAGATGCTAGATGCAATTATTTTTTTAGTAGTTCTGAACGATCGTCAACATTTTATGATGCGCTTTATTTGATATTGTAACAAAATGAATTGGTTACTATGAAAATAATTCGAAATTTCTGACAGTCCAACATTTTCATTCATCATCACATTATAAACATGAACGATTTTTTTGGTTCCTTCATGTCAACACAGATTTTTTTTCGTATATTGCAGGGGAGATTTTCTAACTGTAAATCGACAACAAAATATACTTGAGCAAATACCGGGTGTCCCAATTTATCGTATACAGGCTATACCTCGCTTATTCAACAAGATAGTTGGAAAATTCGATAACTTCATTGAATGGCATTGAAGTACCTTCTAAATGACATACAGAGTGAGTTTTATGTATGGAACGCATCAATTTTCTCGGAAACGGATTGCACGATTTTTATAGATTTTGGTGTGCATGGGTCTTGTGATGGTTGCGGCCGATATTATGGTGGTATTTACATTGTTGTCAGATCTCTCCTTTTTCTGGAATAATAATGAACTTTGTTATTTCAAACGGATCACCCTGTATATTTTTTGCTTTTTAAAATCCTTAAGAAATACTGAATATTTTTCATGTCATGTTCCCTATACCTAAATGCCATTATTTCGGAGTTATAGCTATATTTACATACAATAACAACTTTGACGTTTCAATAAATTAGTATTGTTGGTGTTCAGTGAAAGTCACAATGGATCGTATATCTGAAAAAGAACGAAATGAAAACAAGTTTAACGAAACTGGCTCAGTGAAAGATTTATCCAAATCAGGACGCAGAAAAACTGCATCAACTGAAAACAAATCTTTAGATGTTTGTGTCCTGTTAGAAGACGATCCACACTCGAGTACTAGACAAATATCCAGGGAACTTGATATTTCGCAAACATCCAGAAGGAAAATTTTACGTGAAAATAAATTCCATCCATACAAAATAAGATTAGTTCAAAAGTTGTCAGATGATGATTTCGATAGACGTGAAGAGCTTGCAGACATAATGATGGAAAAATGTTACAATCAAAACGATCCAAATTTTTTAAGTAATGTTATGTTTTACGATGAGGCCACTTTTTTGATCAATGGAAACGTAAATCGGCAGAATTGTAGATACTGGTCACGTATCAATCCTCGTTGGATGCGTGGATCTCACACCCAATATCCACAAAAGCTGAATGTATGGGCTGGAATAATAGGCGACAAAATAATTGGTCCCTTTTTCATTGAGGGAAACTTAAATGGTCCGGCGTATTTAGATTTATTGGAAAATCGGACCAAATCTTGTCTGCCATCTTGGAACAGTCATTTTTTTAAATTTCAACAAAAATTCCATAATGTATTGTCAACGAATTTCAAGTTGATCGGAGTTATGGAATTTTTGTTGAAATTAAAAAAGATGGCGGACAAGATTTGGTCCGATTCCATTCAAAATTGGTAAGTGGGGGTTTTTGAGGTCGGAGATCATGATTTTTTAGTTGAAATTTATAAATTCAATATGGCGGCTTCGATAACTCCGTTGTTATCAACACAAAACTATATTACTGCGACATATCATCTGTAGGAGAAAAAATAGTTATTTGTAACTAAGTCATGAGTTGGTATAAATTTCATATTTTTTTAGAAATCACTTCGAAAAACTACCATGAGAATGTGAAATTCCTATTTGAATATTTTCATAAATGAAGAAGTTACGGAGGAGACATGAAAATGATCAAAATCTGTTTTTTGCGTATAAAACAAAAACGAATAGATTTTATCAAAATGTTTTTTGACATTATAGTTGGCCTTGACAAACTCCACATTTGGTGTCATTTAACCGACCTCGTATCTCTCACCGGTAAAAAGATACCCATGGTGAGCATGGTAAGTGGGACACACTGTATATCATGAGGAAAGCACTTCAATGCCATTCAATGCAGTTTTTGAATTTTTCAATTATCTTGTCAAATAAGCGAGAAATTGCCTGTAAACGATGACTTGGGACACCCGGTAGAGTAAAATAAAAAAAGCACAATTTAATAAAAAAAACTTTTTTTTTTATTTTTTCCAAAAAAATCATGAATTTTTGCCACTCTGGAAAGGTGAACATACCTTGATAGAGGCGTATCACTTCCATCCAATCTGAACGGCGTTCCTTCGATCTGTCCCCACGTCATCAGAGGGCTGCCGATGAGAGAGGGGGAGGGGGAAGGTTCTCTGACGAAACCGAAGCCATTGACTGTCGTCGCATCGGATTGTAAAAGCTCTTTGCCGTCAACACCGATTCTACCATCCAAAACCTAGAAGAATTTTTCGTGAAACAGTACTGTCTATCAGAAGTCTGAAAACGGTCTCATATTTCAAATACGGCTCAGAGAAAATTCATGACATTTTATACAGGATGATTGGGGACCAATATTATTTTTTGACCACCACATCGCGCCACTGAAACGTGGGGTCAGAGCAAGGGTGGATCCAGCTAGAGCCGACTGAAGAAAACATGTTGTCTTCCATTCTGTTATTTTATATAAACTAGGCTAGATAAACACTAGCTGCTGAACATGAAATGTCGCAAAAGGTTAGGAAAAAAGCCGCTAGAAGTCGTCAAAGCGAGCGAAAAGAGCAGGAAACCCGCCAAGGCAAAATTTTTGAAAATTTAGCGACTTTTTTGATCACATTTCGTCATTTTCAGTTAGTTCATAACTTTATTTATTCAGAATCTGTTCAGAATGAAAAAAAAAAAAACAAACAAAAGAACTAAGGTAAATTTTCCTATACAATTTCATTCGGTACTATTAGGTAGATTGGTAAATCACAACATAACATTTCTCGATCTTATTTGAGGTTATTCTTTGATCTTATCACACATTGATAAACCATGTAGCAACTTATATTTCTAGTTCAACATCATACAGATCTGCGATTTCATTGCTATATGTCACATTGGTTCCTATAAGTTTAAATACTGATTCAGGCAAAATAAAATATTCACAAGCAACACAAGTCCTTAAACCATATCGAATGGCGGAAGTGGCGCAAATGATAAAAACTAACACTGTCGTCTGCCATTCAGAAGAAGATGTTTCCATTTAAAAAAATAATCGATGACGTCACCACAACTACGCGGATGACGTTACAAACTCCGTTTGTATATCAAGAGGTGTCAATTTGAAAATAAAAATCGACCTGTATCAGGATTTTTCTTCAAATTCATATGCGTTAGAGATAATGAATTTATTCCATACATTTTCACCATACTGTATAACCTCCAAGAGTTCAAATGAAATTCCAAGACATAAAAAAATTACTTCTATTGTGACTTCTAAAAGTTTATAGCTAAGATAAAAATAATTGATGGGGTTGGTTGTAACACATTGTAGGTTCAATCAGCAGTGACAAAATTCTGTCTAATGTTCAATTATACGTTTATATCAAGGTTCATACAATCTAAATGTTCGATTTTGGTATACTTGCCATTTTAATGCATCTCGAATTCTGATAACATCACTAATATATGTGTCATAATAATCAACAATTTAACAAGTGTATAAGAAAACAAGAACAAGTGAGTTTTAAACTATCTTGCTCAGTTCATTCATGACATTGTTGAAATCAATCGAATCTTGAGGGAGATGAATGTTGAAATATTCAAACAAGCTGAAGAATCAGTTGAGACGGCAACGCTGTTGTCTCACTGAATAGTAAATTATCGATTTTTTTCAACTACCAACTATAGACGACCGGTTTCTTATAGTACTTGTGACGTCAGTTCCACTGACGATTTTCTGTCCTGTTATAATAAGGAAATCGTTTCTTTGGGTACTTATTTTCGAAAATCTAAGAGGAATGAAGAAGTCAAAAATATTTTTTCTAGAAATTAGATTTTTGCTGATTGTTCCATGGCAGGATGAAATGGGTCAATTTGGTCCCGAGGTATTTTTTTATCGCTTGGTGCGCACGAAAGGGAATCCCTATTGATACAGTATTAAGAACTATGATGGAATGAAATCCACATCTCCATAACACAAACAAGCTTCGGAAAATCCTCGCATAGGTCAATTTTTGTATTTCAAAATTTTTTTTTTTGTAAAGTTTCAATTGTGAGAGTGATTTTACTAACATTTGAAATACTTTCACACTGAATGCTCGTATATGGAATATGTACAGGGTGGTTGTTTATATTTTACTCAATAATCAGTTAATATTGGTCTTACAGAAACGTTCAAATGGACAAAAGTGATTTTTTTTTAGTAGAAAATTAAAAAAAGCATCCTAAACCTGGAAATTTTACATGAACTGGTAGTTTTTGAATGGAACACCCTGTATTTTATTTATATAAATATAGATTTTTTGGTATAGATCTGAAGCAGGTGTAAAACGCCACATGACAATGCTGAGATTTCTGGAGTTCTACAGCTGTCTTAGAATCCGAAAACTGACAAATATAACTTCAATGAAGTATATATATTCAAAATCAGAAGAGCTCCACTGATTGAATAAAATACAGGATATAACATTTAAAAATTATCAGTTCATGTAAAATTTTCAGGTTTAGGATGCTTTTTTTAATTTTCTACTAATAGATTGAATGCCCACAAAGAATAGTACACTTTTACCAATTTGAACATGTCTGTAAGACCAATCTTAACTGAGATAGCTATGGAGTGAACTATAATGGAGGAGGTGGAACATTCATTTCACTTGATTATTTGGGATTTTCTCTCCTAGTTTCTAGAAACGATCACCCTGTACTGTTAGATTCTGAGTAGAGGATCCGTAGATCCACACACTCAGGATAGCTTGTACAAAGACCAAGACAAAGACCATTTATGAAATACAATATGCTAATGAATGAATCCCCTTCAATCACATGATGATGATGAAACCTATGAATCTTGTGATATGGCATGATTGCATTCTATAGGCGCTCCATTCATTCACAGGGTGATCTGAACTTTGTCAATAACAGTATAATGAAACAGTACCTACCATGACCAATAATTTGGACAAAAATATCAATAGACTTCAAATTTTTCAACTGCTTTCTTGTGAATATGGCTAAACCCAGTTAACAAAAAATTAGAGATTCAAAATACCTCTCTAAGAAGGTATAATGTGTCCCCTCAAAGAGGTTGATTTGTAGGACAGGGTGTTGACAGATTTTTTGAAATATTTTGGACATACTGATTCCATTACATCATAGATTTTCACACTGCTTATAATTAAGACTGTACTTATTTCCTCCCTAATATACATATATCGTCGGCTAACTATCAAAACCTCATGAGTCTTTCAGAGCTAATTGTTCAGGAGGGGAAAACACATTTTTCACTAGGTACTTTGAACGATTCAATTTCATTTTTTTTAAGGCTATTTCTCCTTTATAAAAGTACCTTCTTGATGAATGAAATCAACATTCTAAGAAGATTTATATTCTCAATGTTCAAATAAATGACATACGAAGTATCCACAAAAATAAATTGAACATTATTCAGACTGAATTGGTTTTGATCAATTACTAGTGCAAATTGTCATTTAGTTTGGCCTTGCTTCACAGTGCATGTAGCAAATCAGCGGCAGTTTTGATAACAATGAGGAATATGGGTTCAACAATAATGAACCGAAATATTTCCATCAATGTCTTCATTTGGAATGAACAAAATAAAATTATTCAAATATCCATAACATCTTCTCAAAAGCTCTTCTGTCTGTTCACATGAAGAATCAAAACAAGATTGTCCTTTACATCACTGCAGAAATATTCGAGAAGATTGACCAAATAGTTCATCATAAACTTACTTTGGTGTCTGACATGGATTTCAGTACAAATAATGAATCAAACAATAGAGATTTATACTTTCTCAACAACCTATCCTCTCTTGCAGACTTATGAGTTTTTGAGTTCAAAATCTCTCAGAGTAGAGTTAGGATGTTTAAATTATATCTAATAGATGCCGCTACCAAAAACATAGACTTAGTAGTAGTAAGCCAACAATATGATTTCATTCATGAAACCTGGTTTTTGGAAGCATCATTCTTGAAATTTTACCTCAAGTGGTGAAACTCTGGATGGCACAGATATTATATAAAATATTACCCTCCCACAGAGGGTAATTTTTTTCCTCCCATAGTGGTAAATTGACTGCTCCATTTTCTTAAATCAGAGCACATAGCCACTTTTGATTCAGTGAGCAGATAAAATCTATAATCTGATAACTAAATAAGCATACCTATTGTTGAGTATTTAGCAAGTTTTTAGTGAAAATGTTAAGATAAGATGTTATCCATACCTAGATTCATACCTATTTAGAATATTAAGTTTTAAAAATACTTGGGCCTTCTGGTATTTCTCAAAATAGGATTATTCTAGCTTAATTTCTTGATATTTTTTGATAAAATAAAATCAACCATGATATCAACTCCATGCACTGGAATTTTTCACCTACCTTAGCCTGACTTTTAGCCAATTCAGTTATTGCTTCTCTACTTTGCACCTCATTGAAGGGATTGACTTCTAACCTAGTGTTGAGATGGACAACTTCTTGTCTCCTTTTATTCAGTTCAATTTCATCTTGTTCAGATAATTCCACTCCATCTGGTACATACATAATGTAATTTCTGTTCTTGTAACCCCAAGTATCCAGATTCAGTTTTTTCTCTGGAACTTGTACTTGTTGTTCAATGGAAGGCAGAGCTAGAGCCCCTTTTTGTTCAATTTGGCTCTTCTCTTCCTCATTGAAGAGGTAAGAGTATTTCTGTCTTTGTTTTCTCTCTGATTCTATGAGGATTTCTTCGAAACTCTCATTGTCCTGGGAAGTGTGTGAGTTCAAATATTGGTCAAGACTTAACTTGTTCTCTCTTGGCTTTGATTCTTCTTTCAAATCAATTTTCTCAGTCTGCTGTTCTTCAGGAACTTGTGAATTGTGAATATTTACTGGAGTCTCAAAAGTGGCTGGGCTAGGTACTGAAATTGAGTATAGAAAATAGTTGATATGGTCAGTATTTAGAAAACACTCACATCGCTCTGGAACTGTTTTATTTCCATTATATTTCATGTGGAGTTCCTTCAATTTAATTGTGTCATTGCGTTCAAGAGCATCTAGGTAATCATTTTGGGCTTTGAGTTTCTCTAGATTAGGGAAAAAATCTCTCTGAATGATTTTACCAATTGCCTAAAAAATCAATTTCGAAATTGTTAAGCAGATTCGAGAACTCAGCTGAAATAACAAAGAAACTGATTTGATAATGATATAACAAACCCAAGAACAAACCTCAACATATGTTTCTTCATCTAATACTTTTTTTACTGTTCTTCTTCTAACTGTCCCAGTGGGTTTTTTGAATATCAGATCTCTGTGCATACTCTCCATTATTTCCATAGCCTTTCTGCCAGGCGTTTTATCTGTATTCTCACACATTTTATATAATAGGTCGCGTGCACGAAGACCGACCCTGGAGGCAAAATATTGAAACACAACCTCATTCTTCTGTGAATTATTGAAACACAACCTCACTTTTTTATTTGGTTACAGAGGAATCAAAAGGTTGAAATAGTTTTTCACAATATTTTGGCATACGAATCGTGTTTCTTGCGTTATTCATTAATTCAAGCATGCCTTCGCATTGTGCTGTTGTACAATGCACAAAAAATGCAGCAAGAGACTAGGGAATATGATTTTTCAGGTAAATAGTAATCTCACATAGTTAGCACTATGAAATGTTGTCATTCCTTATTAAAATTCCTTCTGCCTTCTGCCACTTCTGCAATACAAGCTAATGCTGCTAATAGATTGCAAATGTCTACAACACACACGATCGTCAGCATGTCAGACCAGTCCTACCGATTGATTGCATGAATCCGATCTTCTTGCATTATTCTAGAAATTTCAGGTATATTTCTATTAGCTGATCCTATTGCAGAAGGAATTCCGATGAGAAACAGAGAAACAACCAAATTTCAAAAATGAAAACTATGTGAGTGACTATAGTAGGTACTTACTTTTGAATCATAATGTACCATCCGCATTTCTTCATCTTCCGCTGCAGTTTTTGTGCATTTCACAACAGCACAATGTGATGGCATTAGCGAATTGATGAATAGCGGAAAAATACGATTCATATGCCAAAATAATTGTGGAAAACTATTTCGATCACTTGTAAACAAATATGTTTTGCCTCCAGGGTCGGTCATCTGACAGTTCTTGCACGCGACCTATTATAACTCTGATTTTATATTTTCTGAATCTTCGACTTTTTATGTTAGGTTCTGTCAATTGACAGTTCTTCTTATTCTTTTTACCAATGTGAACTGACTGCCGAAGTTGGCTGCTAAAATTTCCGAACTTACCCGACCGACCATCCCGACCATACCAGTGGCGGGCGGCTGTTCTTTCATGAATCAACTACTTTCTACCTTGCACTAGTATACAACATACTTTTTTTCCTATTTCGCATCAGACTTTCATGATGATATATAGAAGGGTACATTACTTTCGAAGCCTAGAAACGTGTGGTGGCGAAATAATTTCTTCTAGATGGGTCCAGCGACTTGTACAGGGTGATTCAACTATTTTCGAAATAATTTTTTTTCCTCATATTTCGCATCAGACTTCCGTGATGAAATATATATTTTTTAATTTTCTGGTTCTCACGAAGAGGAATATCCTGTAATGTTCAGAGAACATCGTGAGAATCAAGGGAAATAAAGCAGGAATTGGAGTTCTTCTTGAAGCCTTGCTGGTCATTGGATGAACGAGTCTTTGTAAAGGTCTCCAAAGTGACCACGAAGGGGTAGCGAAATAATTTCTTCCAAGTGAGTCCAGCGACTTGTACGTGAATCAGCTATTCTAGAAATAATTTCCCAATATTCATGTTAAGCCTAGAATTGTATGGTATAGCGAAATAATTTTTTCCAAATATTTCATCAAGGAGGTCTAAAGCGGAATATAGGAAAACTATGATTTCGAAGATAGCTGATTCACCCTGTACTAGTCGCTGGACCCATTTGGAAGGAATAATTTCGTTACCACACGGTTCTGGGCTTCGACAGTAACGTATCTTACCATATTATTATTCCATTACGGAAGTCTGATGCAAAATATGAAGAAAAATATTTCGAAAATAGCTGATTCACCCTGTAAAAGTCGCTGAACCCATCTGGAAGAAATTATTTCGCTACCACACGATTCTAGGCTTCAAAAGTAACGTATTCTACCTTATTTCATAACGGAAATCTGATGCGAAATATGAGGAAAAAATTATTTCGAAAATTGCTGATTCACCCTGTACAAGTCGCTGGACCCATCTGGAAGAAACTATTTCGCTACCACATGATTCTGAAAGTAATGTACCTTACCATATATCATTATGGAAGTCTGATGCGAAATAGGAAAAATAGTTATCTATTATACAAGGGAAAAAAGTAGTAGACTTTAGCCCCAGGTTGTGTTATCTCCCGACGCGTAGCGGAGGGAGACAACAAACCGTGAGCTAAAATCTAATATTTTTCCCGTGTATAATACACTATTTTCTTCTGTGACAGAAGAAAGTACGAATCAATATTGAAAATATATTATTTTAAAATCTGAAAATTATCGACGTGAAATTTTAAGTTTTTAACAGTAGGGACACCGCGTTGTAGGCATCTTTATCATTCATTTGAATAAGTAATCAAATATCTGATGTCACTTCTGTCAGCCTAATTCCGTGATTCGATTCCAAAAAATTGCGAATTCAGTGGTTGTTTAGTAATATACGTAACCGCGAAGTCGAATGGAAGATAAAAGGACTTGCAGTTGTTTCTCGGAGACGGTATTATTGACTCATTTTTCGGAACTATAGCACAACAGAAGCGATCAACAGTGTATATATATGTGATATATATCCGGGAAAGAAGTCCTCACTTTTTTCCCACGGGAAAAAAGTAATTTATGCAAAGTGACATTTTATAACCTGCCAACAGGGATGAAATGCCAAACTTTTTTCCCGTCACAGAAAAAAAGTATGTTGTAAATTAGTGCAATTTCTAAGAATGGCCGCCCGCCACTGGTATGGTCTATCGGGTAAGATCGGAAATTTTAGCAGCCAGCTTCGGCTGCCAATATCACATTGGTTTCTTTTTTTCCTTCACTCTTCGACCGTCTTCGACCAATCTCACGTTTCATGTTCGTCTTCTGATTATTATTTTCCCGGCATCTACAGTTACGCTTCTTCTTTTTTTTTGTTTTGGTTCCCACGTATCCACGATATCCTGTAATGTGGGAATGTCTTATCAGATTTTCCTCTCTTTAGTTTAAATATATCGTTGTTTGAATTGACTCGGTATAGGCGACTGAGATTAAGATCGTAGCGCCAGAACGGTGAATGTCGGTACTACTCTATGGGTCATTGGCGGATTGTTTACTTTGTTTGGTACTGGTGTTTATGTTCATTTCGTTTTGAGTTTTCGACCGTTCAGCTTTGTTATTTGTCAATTTTCGAACTTTGTATTTTCCAGCGGTCTATTGTGTTTTGATTGAGCACTATATTATCTCTGTTCAACATTAGATAACGTCCCTAACTCTAGTTGAACTTCATATATACCAATATACATGAGCTGTAAGTTTTTATCATTATTGAACAAGAATTCTCATGAAAACCTGTGTGGGATGTTGATTTCCAATTCGAATATATGGCTGGGATATTCCCCTGATAGCATGATATTTTTAAAAGAAAATCCAGCATACTTTTTGAGAATAAAATGTTCTTTCGAAGGTGAATTTAGGTATGCAGTTTCTACTTGACTTTTTACAACATAATCATCAAAACCCTGATTGATAAAATTCTTTACTGTTTAAAAATTCTACTGTTCATGAGTAAAGATATATTCAGTTTAAAATTTGTTTGTTTTTTTACCATCACCCCAAGAAGTAGGTATTATATTCATAATAGACATACATTTGAGAATATATTATGAGTACATTTTCAGTGAAGTGTAAAAAACAATCTCTCATTATGTTCAGACACTTTTTCCTATCTTCAAGTTATGAATCCACACCTCTCCTACCGATCACTTCCTTATTTCCCAAATTATTAGTTTCAAATGCTAATTTAAACTGTCTTGATTTTTTGAAGGATTGAAAGCTATACTCGGGATTTTTTTGCTCAAGGTGAACAATCAGGTACACAACAATAATGACTCATGTTTTTAAACGTTTATAGAAGTTCTCAAACAGAATAATAGACAATTAAAACACAACTACTTCTTATACAAAATACACGCAAACTAATGTAAACAAAGCAATCAATGGCCCATACGTTAGTTATATTAGACAACGGTAGAGGGAGTACTCCTTAGCATGAATCGCCTATACGGATGAATCCAGACATATATTTAACCGCGCATTGCGTCATCAAAAATCAGAATGAGGACCTAAACAAGGTTGGTAGAACTGATGATACAGTTTTACATACCTTGGATCCAAACAAGGTTGGTAGAACTGATTATAATTTGTATAGGAAAAAATACAAAATAGTCATCAGTTCTACCAACCTTGGATCCAAATGATTTTAGTGCCATCTATTAAATAGTAGTTGTCTTTAGCATTAGCGCGCTGTAACTCTTACGAGACTTCATGAGCTTTTGACTCTCAACTACTATTTCGAAGAACTAGATGGCGACACTAAGAACTCAATGCAATATATACAGGGTGACAGTATGAAAACGAGGATCTATCTGAAAAAATATTCATGTATTTATTACAGAAATGCGAATATACTTACATGGAGAATAATGGTGGGTACATGTTCGTGAAGACCAAAAAGAACTAATAAAATGGGTGTACCACCCACTAAACATGTATAAATGTTACAAAATATATATATTGCCACACACAATATATTGAGAAGCTTCCTTCCGTAATATGAAAATACAATATTGTCTCAATTTTTGCGGCTCAAGTTTCGTTTGGCTGAAATCAGTTATGAAAAACATGTTGCCATGGAAACGATCTTCATGGTAACAAGTAAACAAAAACCCGATTCCCGTGGTGAGGAAATGCGTGGTTGCCAAGTTAATTATATCGGGTTTAGTTTGACTGAAATCAGTTATGGAAAACCTATTGCCATGGCAACGATCGTCATGGTAACGTGTAAACAAAAATCCGATATCCGTGGTGAGGAAACGCAATGTCAAAACACTCTTCAATGCAACCATCCTTCGCGTGCCAAGCTATATATGACAAAATTCAAGAAAAAGGGCCATTTTCGAATATTCATTAAGAGGTATCGCGCAAGATATAGGGGAAGAGACACAGGTACTATGATCTTCTAATACAGATGGAAACATCTCTCGTTATAGGCCCAAATCTCGATCTACCCACACATTTCCATTTGCCTTCATTTCGATTCACCCATACCTTTCTACACGCGCGCATTTTGATTCAGCC